ACACCAAATCGAAGATCTCATTAGGTTGTATCTTTTTGGTAACCAAGTCCTGGCAAAAAAATTAATTGGAAAACTTCTAACGAAAATAAATGAAATCAGTAGACCTACTTTTGCAGCGCATCCAAACGATAACACCCTCATCATTACAACAACAGACGGCATGTCGCGAGGTAAATGAGCGCCACCCTAAAATAACCAGAGTATAGGCAGCCCACATGATAGTAGATATTAAAAAAATGGTTTCTTACCGAGTCACGCAACTTCTTTACAGCCAATGAACAGAAGAAGTGAGTTACATGGACATCGCCAGCTATCATGGCCAAATCAACAATACTCTAAAAGAAACGTGGACAATTCAGGGACTTGTCATTTGCCAAACAAACCTCGATGGGAGACTTTAAGAACGCATCCAGCATGTGTCTCAACCTTGCCGTTTGATGGCTTTCAAGGTGTTTATCTCTCATACATGCTTCTAAGCACCAAGCAAAATCGTGGCATGGGTCTGCAACAAAGTTTACGAACAATACGTAAGTTCCAAGAAAATAATTGGGAAAAACAGAAAAATGGTATTTTGATACAGCACAACTTACCTGATTTGACCAAGCTCTCAATACCAGCGTCGTGTGCAGCCATAATCAATTCGTATCTGCAAAAATATATTATATGGAATTTTGGAACGACAAAGACAACAAATACCTCAAAGAACAGAGCATCGCATCACCAGTACTAGCAAAAAGTTCTCTTATATAGTTTGTCATTGATTTGAACAGCTCTTCATGAGTTCCACAAGACTGTACCAAATCTGAAAATTCGTAAGCTGACAACATCCCAGCTTCAACAAGACTTCAAAATTCTCCAAGTTCTCTTGGAAGAGGAGCTTGTCGCAAATAGAGCTATAGAGCTGCATATGATAGCAAGTTGTAGAAAATAACGAAGGAGAAATTTTTAACACTTTAAAAGTATGTGAGGTAAAAGAAACACCTTTGATCTCCTTCCACTGACGGCGTGCCTTGGTTGTTTCGAAGGTGAAAAAGTTGGTATTCGACGGTTCTACTGACAGAAGAAGGTCCTGCTTTCGTCTAAGCAGGATAAATTGAATAAAATCAATGGAAAAAAGTAGAAAAACCAGCGATCTCAAAGATAAAAAAGAACGAACAAGTCCAGTAACGCATGCAGATAGTTGGTACGCAAAGACAAATCAAAAATGTTTAGAAGCAAATATATAGTAAAGAGTAAAATCGACAAAACTTACTTCAGATAGGATTCTATCAGAGGGCTGAAAGCTTCAACAAACAAATCATTGTTGCGTAACCAAATCTGCTGTTGTACGGTCAACGGGCATGCATCATAGAAACTCCTATCATTCATAATAGTGTCAAGATACCTGCAAAACACATTGGCTACAGATGATATGGTTTTGGTTGAAATACAATTACTTGTCAGGTATCTTAGGAAGCTGTTTGAGGTTTTCCAGC